GTGGGCACAGGAGGCTGGGAGCAGACAGTGAAGGGGCTTGTCTTCCAGGCCAGGGAGCACAGCAAGCAAGGGAAACCTCAGAGAATTTTAGACCAGGAGCGACATGCTATAAGAAAAAGAATTTGGCATCTGCATGTAGAAGGGTTTGGCAGTCGGAGGTGGGGAGACAAGTTAGGAGATGATTACAATTGCTATTACAGGAAGATAACAGTTTGCAAGTATGAGATTGGCAAAGCACCAAAGATTTGATAGCACCGCATGTCGATAAGGATGTGGAGGAATAGCACACTCTCAGACATTGCCGGTGAGGGCAGAAATTGATAAACCTCTTTGGAAGGCAATTTGATAATATCAATTGGTATTGTAAATATTCATAACCTATTTAGCCAGTAATTCCTCTTCTAGGTACTTAGCCTAGAGATCACACTGCACATGTGCTAAATAATTTGCGTATAAGGCTATTCATTGTAGCATTTTCCTAATGGCTGAAGATTGGAACAACAATGTCTATTGTTGTTAGGTAAGCAGGTACGGAACAGGCCATGGACGGGGATACTATGCAGCAGTTAAAGAGAAGGAAATGACTCTATATGTACTCACATGGGGTGATCTCCAAGTGTAATGTCAACGACAAAGGTAAGGTGCCTAATAGTATACACAATATGCTTCTGTTTGGGTGGGAGGATAAAAGGATATTTTGAACTTAAGTTTGTAAATGCAGAGACCAGAGAATAAAGGAAATCGGTACAGGATGGTTGCTTTTTAAAAATTAATTATATTTGTTTTATAGTTTATTGTCAAGTTGGTTTCCATATAACACCCAGTGCTCATCCCAACAAGTGCCCCCCCTCCATGCCCATCACCCCCCTTCCCCCCTCACCCATCAGCCCTCAGTTTGTTCTCTGCATTCAAGAATCTCTCATGGTTTGCCTCCCTCTCCCCCACTATATTCCCCTTCTTCTCCCCCATGGTCCTCCGTTAAGTTCCTCCTAATCCTCCTATACGTGCAAACATATGGTATTTGTCCTTCTCTGCCTGAATTAACTTTGCTCAGCATAACACCCTCGAGTTCTATCCATGTTGCTACAAATGGCCAGATTTCATTCTTTCTCACTGCCATGTAATATTCCATCGTATAGATAAACCACATCTTCTTGATTCATTTGTCCGTTGATGGACATTTAGGCTCTTTCCATGATTTGTCTATTGTTGAAATTGCTGCTATGAACATTGGGGTCCATGTGCCCCTATGCATCAGCACCCCTGCATCCCTTGGGTAAATCCCTAGCAGTGCTATTGCTGGGTCATAGGGGAGTCCTACTGTTAATTTTTTGAGGAACCTCCATACTGGCTGCAACAGTTTACATTCCCACCAGCAGTGTAGGAGGGTGCCTGTTTCTCCACAAGGATGGTTGCTTTTTGAAGAGAACTGTATGGCTGGGGTCAAAGGAAGGAGGAAGGTTTACTTTTTGTTCTAATCTTTTTGTACCTGTGCATAAAGTGTCTAGGTTTTAAAAATCCATTGCACTGCCATCTGAGAATCAAACCTCTACTTTGTTTTTTGTTTTTTTTTTTTACAAATAGTTTATTGTCAAATTAGTTTCCACATAACACTCAGTGCTCATCCCCAAAGTGCCCTCCTCCATGCCCATCCCCCCCTCCCCCCCACATCCATCAGTCCTCAGTTTTTGTCAGCATTCAAGAGTCTCTCATGTCAAACCTCTACTTTGGTATAAGTTCTAAAACTCAGTCTATGGGGGCACTTGGGTGGCTCAGTGGCTGAATGTCTGATTTCAGCTCAGATCATGATCTCACCATTCATGGGTTCAAGCCCCATATTGGGCTGTGTGCTGACAGCTCAGAGCCTGGAGCCTGCTTCAGATTCTGTGTCTCATTCTCTCTCTGCCCCTCCCCCACTTGTGCTGTCTCTCTCTCTCAAAAATAAATAAATGTAATAAAAAATTAAAATTAAATCAAATACAAATCAAACTGTGAATAGCTTTCTTGGTGAAGTAACACAACTGAAAGGCATTCAACTAAAAAAAGAAAAACCCTTTATAATAAAACACTTGAATTCCTGAGCAGAATTTTGAGCTTGTCTACCAGGTAAGTAAATAGACTTGAATTGCCTTGCTCAGTCTTGTCAGTTCTTAAAGTTCAAAGTAAGTACAGTATCTGATAAATTGGAAGGCAGGCCTTTGAATAGTAACCGCTTCGTTCTGTGTATTTTGCTAATGCAAGTAGGTAGCGGGCAGAGATGTCATTCCGGGAATTCAAACCCGGGATGGGTGGTTGAAAAAAAGGCCTTACGAAAGGTCTTTTCTAAACTGGAGAGGTTATAAGGCACTGCCCTACTAGGCTCTCAGAATTTCTCCATCGTAATTGTTCTTTGGTTCATCTGATCTTCATCTAGACTACACACTTCATAAATGAAGACTACAGCCTTATTTATCATTGCATTCTTAGTACGCGGCGCTAAACAGGTGCATAGTAAGTGCTCACATATTTGTTCAGTTGATTGAACATGGCTTTCTGTCATATTGTCGCTGCACCTCTTGAAACTTAAAGCTGGGTAAATACTTGACCCTTCATCTCTCCTCATCTTAATTGCAGTGGCCAACTTATTTTCTTCATAAGAGAAGAAAAATAGTCAAATAATGTGACTAAGTTTTTTGAGTTAATGAGACTTTTTCATTAAACGCAATGTAATTTGATTTCTGTGATACTAGAGGAATTGCATGATTGTTTCTAAAACATTGTATTACCATGTAACATTACCCTTACAAAGCTGAATCTTTGTATCATCCTGCTTTATTTAGTTCATTTCCTAATACAAATAAAACTTTTTTGGCAATAACAACTTTTGCACAGCAATCAGAACTTCAGCGTTAGAACTTATATGTAAATCAGCCATTTCTCTTATTCTTATAAGAGGGGTTGAGACTCTGAAGTGATACAATGTAATACTGTACTAAATTATGTCTAACAAATCCAGTCGTAAATGAAATTTAATAAACTCTGATTGCTTGTCCAGTGTAGTTGTATTGCCTTCCTAGAGTTGGTTTTAATGAAAATATATGGTACTTACACTTATTGGTGCAATATACTTTCATTGTAATGACCGTTATTATTAAGTCTGCTTAATAAAAACTTACTAAAATAACTCTCATTAATGCTTTTCTGAAAAAAAAAGTGATATCAGGGCGCCTGGGTGGCTTAGCCAGTTAAGTGTCTGACTCTTGATTTTGGCTCAGGTCATGATCTCATGGTTTGTGGGTTTGAGCCCTGCATTGGGCTTTGTGCCGATAGCACGGAGCCTGGTTGGGTTTCTCTCTCCCTCTCTCTGCCCCTCCCCTCCTTTGTGCTCTTGCTCTTTCTCAAAAATAAACTTAAAAATATTTTTAAAAATAAAAAAGTAATCTGTACATCCAGCCATTGGGCTTGAATTCACAATCCAAGATCAAGAGTCACATGCTCTAGTGACTGAGCCAGCCAGGCAACCCCTAATCAATGCTTTTAATTCAGGGATGTGACTGTCTTTTTTTAAACAAAAACAAAAAACAACCAGGGCACCTGGATGGCCCAGCTGATTAAGTGACAAACTCTTGATTTTGGCTTAGGTCATGATCTCGTGGTTCGTGAGTTTGAGTCTCACGTCTGTCAGTGCAGAGCCTGCTTGGGATTCTTTCTTCCTCTCTCTGTACCCCTGCCCCCGCCCCATTTGCCCTGTCTCTTTCTGTCTCAAAAAAACAAAAAACAAAAACAATAAACAGTTAAGAAAATCATCATAATTTAAGTTTAGGGAAAACATAATAAGGTCTAATTTTCCGAAATGGTAGAAAGGCTGGAGAGGACAGGATGAACAGGGAAGACCTGCTGAACATAGAACAACCGTGATCTGAAAGTCTGATGTTACAAATTGGCCAGCTCAAGGACCAGATGCAGACTGCAGAAAGAATTTCACTTGGCTGGTACAATGTTTTTAAAATGCTTAAATTTGTCTTCCAAGCCACCCGGTCCCCCACTCATTGACTTTCTCCCGACCACCTTACTCATTGACTTTCTCTGCTTGGCCCTAGTAAGCACTGAATGCCTGGAAAACAGTGACATCATTAAAAGAAATAATGGAGCTTGGGAGGGAAAGAAGTGAAAATGGAGATTTTAAGAATATATGAATTTGAAAGGCAGATGAACCCACTGACAGAACTGTCCACATGGGTTGGGAGTGGAGGCTTTGGAGAGCATGGACACAAAGAAGCTAATGGCGAAATCGTGGGCATTGCTCACTTAAGGGCTCTAAGTCACCAGAATCATAATGAAAGGGAAAAATGTAAGAGAAACGGGTGGAGCAAGGCTATGGAGGTCGGAAAGAGAGAACTTCAAAAAGATATTGGAAAGCTTAGCTGAGATTAGTAAGCATTAACTATGGTTCAAACTGCCATGATTTTGTGATTTTATTATTTATTACAAACTGCATGGATTTTTTTAGATGCAACTAGTTAACAGTCCTATAAAGTAAGTGCAAGTCCACAAGAATGAATTGCAAGTCCGTTAGTGCCAGAAGTATGGCTTTTCCTGAAGGGCCTCTGGTGTTAAACTATCAGTATTTAGGAGCATAGCTTTATAAGACTGGTCCTCGTTTCTAAAGTGAAGATATGTTTGAGAATTTCATTAGTGTTGTCTCTTTTTCTTACCAGCATTAATTCCGCTAAGTAATACATTTTTTAGCCTCTCTTCTTTGGAGATGTTACAAACTGAAACTGATTAGGATTCTGTTTCAAGTCAGCTAATAGTTGAGGGGAAAAAATTCTGGATGCACCTCCATTTAAAGAATAGAGCTTGGCAGGCCACATTTTTCTTACTAGCCTCATTTCTGCCTCATGACTCTACCCTTGTTCTTCCTTCTCATGTTATCTTGTTACATTTCACACATCCTAAAAGCTACCTTAAATCCTTTTTTGGAGCAAGCCAGCACATGTACATATTAAACATACAAATACTTAAGGTACTACAAGCACTTTAATACTTGTGGGCATTATTAAAATCATGTCTACAGTTACAAGGCACCAGACCCCAAAAAGCTTTTTGAAACTCTTAGAACTTTCCATAAAAAAATAATGGGTGATACCATAAAGCAGAAAGCCAAATCTGTAAAAGTATATAATTAAAGCAAAACCTGAGTCGGGGCACCTAGGTGGCTTAGTCGGTTAAGCGTCCGACTTTCGCTTAGGTCATGATCTCGCGGTTTGTGGGTTCGAGCCCCGCGTCGGGCTCTGTGCTGACTGCCAGCTCAGAGCCTGGAGCCTGTTTCAGTCTGTGACTCCCTCTCTCTCTGACCCTCCCCTGCTCATGCTGTCTCTCTCCTAGAAATAAATAAAAAACATTAAAAAAAATTTTTTTAAATTAAAAAAAAAAAAAAGCAAAACCTGAGTCGAAGACTCAGCTAGATGTTTCTGTGTGAAGATATGTAACATTTATTCCTGAGAATTTAAGAAAAGCAATTTGCCCTCTTTAATGACTTTGGAAGCTCTCTTTCCAACTCAGCTAACACTATTCAAAATCAGTATGTTCTAGTGGTTGCGAAGGTGGGCTCTGGAGCCAGACTACCTGGTTTCAAATCCCAGTCCCCTTGAGCCGTGTGACTCTGGCAGCTCACCTACCTCCCTTGAAAAATGGTGCTAACTTAAATGGACTTAAAGTCCATTAAAGTCATGTTTGCATGAGTAAGGTGCTTAAAACATGTCTACAACCTTTTAAGTGCACAAAAGAAAAACTGGTAGTTATAATTATTTTGGTTTTACAGTTGGTAAGACTCATGAGTCTCCCAGGGTGGATGCCAAAACTTTCGATCCAAACAAGTCGATTGATGAGTGGCTGGATTCCAGAAGCCCAAGCTAATGTGTCCCCGAAGACCAGAGTCTTCCCACGCCCTGCTGAGTAATACCTATGGAAGTGAGACCTTCAATTCAAGACCTCTCAATCACTAGGTTTGGTAACGTACTTCCACACTAACTGGCTCCTAGGAGAGCCCTACTAAATTCATTTATTAAATATTTATTGAGGGCCTATTTTATCATGCAGTAAGTTTTAAATACCACAAATCATTAATAACCAACACACACGGATACTCTTTACCCCATACTGTTTCAAAATGTCACTGTCATACTCTGGTTTCTCTTCAGATCGCATAAATCTTTCGCCTTTTACAAAATGTCATTGTCAATCAAAGCTACTACACATCAGCAACACAGCAAAAATGCTTCAAAGGGTCTGACCTGTTGTGAATTTAATGGAAATCAAGTAGGAGCCTAACACAGTCTCAAGCCTTAAAATACAGAACACATACAAAGTGCGACAACGAAAAGTAAACTTTGAGGTCCCATTAGCAGCAGTCGGTCCCACACGGGAAGTATTTGGTAGGAGTGAAGACTATAGTGACAACTGCTTAGTCCCACTGGATCATTCGCTCTTCTTCAGGAAGAAGACTCCAGTTTGGGGAGGCCACGTCCCGGGCCAGCCAGTTGAAATCGTCGACGTCATTCCAGTTATTTTTGCTCCGATCTAAACCAGAGCCCTCGAAGTCCTTGTCGATCCCCGGGTAGCTCCAGGTATAAGGGGCGAACTGGATCCCGCTACAGTCTTCCACGATGGCCCTGCTGGTCACCTGCAAGAAGATGCGGGTGTCTCTCGTAGTGTGTACGCGCAGCTGCTGGCAGGCCACGGCCAGCACGCAATCACTGCAGTCCTCCAGGAACACGGACGTGGACACCGGGCCGCAGAGCACCGTGCAACTTCGGGCTTTGGCCAGCCGCAGGGTGTTGGGATTGCCATACAGTCTGACTGTGCATTTGCTCAGTTCGGTCAAAAGGACGTCGCGCTGGTGCAGCTCCTCTGCCCTCTTCTCCAGGACCTGGGACTCCACGTTGGAGAAGCCGAAGACCCAGCTGGAGCCGATGCCTCCCTCCTCCTTCAAGGGCTGCGGGGAGGCCAGGTTGTCTTTCGCAGCCAGGGCTCCAGGAGCGGAGTCTACTTTGGCGGCCGAAGCAGCATCCTTCCTCCGGGTCTTGAAAGCGAAACGCTTCTTGGGCTGCAGCTCCTGGCGCCGCACGGCCAGCGTCGCCTGGAGCTGCGTCAGCGCCTCCTGTCCCTGCCGCAGGTCGTAGGCGGCCAGGAACAAAACCGAGTCGTTGAGAAGTTTCTGCAGGCCCTGGAGCCGAGCGGCCGCCTCCTCCACCTGCTCCATGGATTCTCCGCCCTCCAGAAGCTCTTCCACGGCCGCTCGCTCGCGAGAGAAGGCGGCAGTGAAAAAGTCGCTCTTCTCCTCCTCCACCTCCTGGTTCTGGCGCTTTTGCTTCCGCCTTTCCACCTCCAGTTGCCGCTCTTGTTCCCGTCTCTGAAGCCGCTCAGGCACCAGGCTCCGGTCCCGCTGCGACCCCACAGCCCCGTTTGGCGCGGCGGCGGAGCAACTAGCAGTCTCCATCTTGACTTCAAGCTTCCTTTCTCCTGCCTTGCTTCCTCCGGGCGCGCCCTCCGAGAGGCCTCCCACCAACGCGTCCTGTGATTGGCCGGGCCTGCTTACGTCAGCCCCAGCCTTATTTTCTTAGCCCATTGGCTCCTCCGCGTCGGAGGGGGCGGGGACATGAGGCGGGGCCGATTGATAAGGGGGGTGGGGAGACAAAGGTCCTTGTGGATGGGTGGGGTGGGAGACAGGAGGGGGAAGGTTTTTTCCTCTTAAAGGGGCAGGACTTATATCCGGGATTGTGGGGTGAGTTGCAGCAGCGGCAGCTGCACATGTGGGTTTGTTTATAAGAACAAGGTTAGAAACTCGCAGGCCTCCCCCTCCCCCCAGCTCCTCCCTACTACCCCCTTACAGGCCGGAGATCGGCTACTGGTGGGGGGAATGTGTGCGTGTGGTGGGTGGGGGGACAGGTAGTGGTGAGAAAGATGGGGGGGGGAATATTGCACCGCCCGGCCCGCGCCGGAGGAAGCGGCAGCTGGAACAGCTGGCTAGGGAGCCGCTTGCATGCCTCTGGTTTTTTCTTTTCCCTTCCACCACCCCCTCCCCCAACCCATTCCTGCCGCCCCCAAACCCTCATTCTCCCCTCCTTCCCCCCTCAGCCGCTGCAGTTCCGCGTGGCCTGGGTCTCCTGGATCCCCGCAGGCACTTACGGGGGCGGGAGTGGGCGAGGGGCACTGGGATGGGAGAGACTGGGTTTCTCACTGCAACCGGGTTCCGGGGGCCCAGGGGGAGTCTAAAAACGATTACTATTTTTTTGGCCAATTGCTGCAGTCGGAGGGGTGGGGGCGGGGGAGGGGGAGATTCCACACCCCCTTCCTCTTCCTCCCACGTCCTCTCCACCCCCACCCCCCCCGCCTTCGCGGTCACTGGCTCTGCAGCTGCGCGCCGCTGGCCGCGCGGGAGTGAGACCCCAGCCCGGGGCTCAGCGGCTCTCCGTGGGGCCGTCGGTCTTTAGGAAAGCGTTGGGGGAAATGTTACATTATTTCTAGGGGTGGTGGGAGGGATTTGTCACCGGAAGTGAATGAGCCTAGCCTAAAGTCGGGATCAGCGGGAGGTGTGAGTGGGCAGCCAAGTAGGCGCAGTCACTAGCAAAACGCAGGGCCACCGGCCGGCTGAGAGCCGGGACGCCGCCGGCCGCGGCGCACGGCAACCTCGCGTGCTCCGTGGAGCCCCGGGAGCGCGGGGCGCGCCTTCGACCGCGCCCGCCCTGCCAGACTTGGGTTTCACCCGGATCTCCACCCCAGTCCCCACCCTCCCGTCGTTGCTAATTGGGGTATTTGCCCAAAAAACTGTCACTTGAAATTTCACTGTTCCACCTGCATTTTGATGCAGAGAAAGATGGGAGGAAGCGAGATCATTGCGACTTATTTCCAGTTTTCCCGCCCCACTCTCCTCTTTCCGTTCCCACTTAAAACAACAAAACACACACGTAAATTCCCGTATTTCTCCACTAAAAGCAAGCACACATCGCAGCGTTTGGCAAATTGCGCGCCCCGGGGGTGGGGGTGGGGAGTGGGTCCCGGGTGTTTGTGTGTGTGCAGCGGATGGGAACCGGGGTGCTGAAAAATTCCTGTGCTTGGCGCTTGTAGTAGATAGTCTTCGTTTTCGTTCGCTTTGTTTCATGTGCAGGCTAGACGAGGTTTTTTGCTTTTTGTGTGGTTTGGCTATGAGGCTGCTAAAAGAAATATAGCTGGTTAACTTGTCTAAGCCATACGGAGTAATACAAGAGCCGCTTCATTTTATAACGAGTTGATTTAACCAAGGAAGGTATAAAGAAGATTTATTTTGCTAGGGGTAGGGAAAAACCCAAAAATAAAAAACCTGACCTGACTCCCTTAAGTTTTTTGGCAGTTGAATCTGTCCCACTCAGGTTTGGAGCCAAACGAGGTTTACTGGAGCTGCAGGGGCAGTGACGCAACATTTCTTTATTAGCCATTAGTGTCTGTATCAGAAGTGGAATTCAATGTCATTAAGCCTTCCCAAGAGCTTCATTTCTGCCCCCAAAAGGGTTTTGGCATAGAGGCCAATAGACTCTGGAATTTTCTCAACATTTTGAGTTGGGTAGTTCAAACTTTTAGGAGAAAGAAAAGGTAAAAGACAAAAGGGACAGGGCACCCTGTTGACCGAGTGTGTTGAGCCTGAGTGGGAGCGAACAGTGGTCAGTTGTGTGGTCATCATGAAGGATTGGCTTGACAGTTCTTTCCAGACCCCAGCCTACCTGCAAGCCAAGGTAGCTAGGTAGTCCAGCCATGAATATAAAGCTCCGTTTCCATGAGCAATAGAAGGGTTAGAAAACTTCTAGCAGTGCCAGACTGTTATTTGTGTCTTTTCTCTGACATTTGAGGGCAGTCGATTCAGTGTGCATCCTTGAAATGGATCCCAGCTCCTGGGAGGTAAGTGCCTGTTGTGGTGCATTACAACAATGTGAAATGTGGCAAAAGGCAAGTAGCTGGAGAGTTCTGAATCCTACTTTGATAACTTTCAGGAGCTTGTGAATCAAGTACTGCCCTCTTTTAGACATCTTGAAAGAATTCTAAGATATTACAGACTTTAAACATTGTTTAGCAAAACTTTATGGTTTATGATTCTATTTGTTAGATTTACTTAATAACATCCTGAAAATTTCAAGCATAGGAAAGGGGACAGTAAAGGTGATGTGTGTGTATCACCCAAGCTTCAACAATTACCAACTGACAGTCTGATTTCTTCTGGATCTCTGGCCACTTACACACCCTGTCATGCTGTTTATTTTACAACAAATCCCAAACATTATATTATTTCATATTTTATAATCTATAAACATTTCAGTATGTCTCTCAAAATGATGAGGACTGCCTTTTTTTTTTAAGTTTATTTATTTATTTTGGGAGACCTAGAGAGAGTGCGTGCAAGGAGGGGCAGAGAGAGAGGGAGAGAGAATCCCAGAGAACAGGCTCCATGCAGTCAGCATGGAGCCCAGTGTGGGGTTCCATCTCATGAACAGTGAGATCATGACCTGAGCCAAGGTCAAGAGTCAGATGCTTAACCTACTGAGCCACCCAGGCGCCCCTACCTTTTTATTTTAATTTTTTTAAAATTTTTAATAGTTTATTTATTTTTGAGACAGAAAGAGACAGAGCATGAGTGGGGGAGGGGCAGAGAGAGAGGGAGACAGAATCTGAAACAGGCTCCAGGCTCTGAGCTGCCAGCACAGAACTCAGTGTGGGGCATGAACCCATGAACCATGAGATCATGACCTGAGCCTAAGTCAGACACTTAACCAACTGAGCCACTCAGGCACCCCGTCCCTACCTTTGTAAAACCTAACCACATATCATCACCACACTCCAAAAAAGTAGCATTATGTCCTTATCATCAGAGTTCCAGTTTCTATTCATATTTCTTTGATTATCCTATAATTCCCCCACCTTCAGTTATTTATTGAATAGGGATCCAAAAAAGTTCCATATAATGTGTCTGGTTGATATGTTCCTTAAATCAATTTTAATCACTTTTAAATCCACCCCCCCCCCCCCCCGCCAAATGTTTTGTTGGAAAAACCTGATCATTCATTCAGTAGAGTTTTCCACAGGCTGCATTTTGCTGGTTGCATCTCCATACTGTGTTAGGTGTTAAGTATTCGTATTCATTGGATCTTTTAGTTTCATAAAGTGAATGTTTATGTGTTTGTGCCGCAGGAAGTTAAAGAATCTGAGTACAGAAAACAGTGTTTGGGTACATCTAGGAATAAGTCCTTTTGCTATTTTGTGGAGTTTATCAGAGACCCTGTGTGGATGAGAGATACCAGGCAAATTAATAGGCCATTATCTAGTAGCTCAGTTCCAAAAAAGGTGGCATCTTTGACTTTATAGTGGATATAAAACATTCATTAAAGAGCTCTCCATGCAAGTCTCAAATGTTAGGCAAATTTTCCAACTTAGTTGCTGACTTTCCTGACCATGAAGGATGACAGCGTGAAGGCATGTGCCGTCCTTGAAAAGGCTCCGTGTTGGTCCAGGAAGCAGGACAGAAGCAGCTGCTTCCCTTCACCTTTGCCTCTGGTTCTCATGCCCTTTAAAAGCCTTCTCTTTCTGGAACTATTTTCATCATGGTGCATCTGATGCCTAGCCCAGAGGCTGGCACCGTTTATTAATCCAGCATCGGTTTATGAAGCACTTGATGTGCCCGGCCCTCCCCTATACCAGGGAGGCCCTCAGGCTGCCGAAGTGAATAAAGACAGACACAGCCCCTTTCCTCCTTGGGGAGGCCTAACCTGGGCAAATAATGGCACAAATATGTAAAATTGTAACAGTGACAACTGTTAACAGAGGAAAAGAGGAACAGTGAGAGCCTCCTGGGGAGGTTTGACCTTGTTGGGGAGGTTGGCAAAGGCTTCTGTGGGCGTTGAGCTGAGAGGCTGGAAGGGTAAGAATCGATAAGAAGTGAATGAACACTGGAAAGTGTCTTCTAGATGTATATGCGCTCATGGAGTCACTGGTGACTTCCTGGAGAGCTGTGCCAGAGGACTGCTGTGGGCAGGAGGCAGGCCACCCGGGAGTGAGGAAGCCGGTAACCGAGCTAGTGACACACAGATAAGTCTTTGGAGAAGTTTGACGGTGAAGGTGAGGGGCCAGTAACTGGGGTTTGGGAGGAGGTCAATGAGGTGTTTTGTTTTTGTTTTGTTTTTTTTTACAGAGAAAACATAGGGTTCATAATGGAAGGATCTTGAAAAGGCAGGCGGTGCGGGGGTGGGGGGGTTTCAATATATGATACAATTAACCACAGTCAGCATGCTGTACATCACATCTCCAGAACTTATTCATCTTATAACTGGAACTTTGTACCCTCTGCCCATCTTCACCCATCCCTCCACCCTCCAGCCCCTGACTTTTAAAAGTGTAATCTACATGGGGCGCCTGGGTGGCTTAGTTGGTTAAGTGTCCAACTTTCGCTTAGGTCATGATCTCGCGGTTCGTGGGTTTGAGCCCCGCGTCGGGCTCTGTGCTGACTGACAGCTCAGAGCCTGGAG